TATTAAAAGCCAAAGTCTTCAAAATTTACTTGCTGCTGGTAATATGAGAAGATAGTATAAAGGGGCGAGGGTTTAAAATGTCAAAAAACCACTTTATAGAGGAGTAGGCGGCACATTTGCTGTGAGGATTACATGAGGTAAAAACTATGAAGCTATATGTTATATGTATAACATGTTATATGTAAAAACTATAGCTGACACCTATAAAAATGTTACTGTTGTTATAAATGGTATATGATCTCTGTTCTTTAAATCCATCATATTTCACATACAATATGGCAGCTTTCTGAGATTATATTTACTCACATACAGTTGATCCTTGTTTTTTGTGCATTCTATATTTGTGAATTTGCCTATTGGTTAAAATTTATTGATAATCCCCAAATACTCATGCTTTCGAGATCATCTGTGGACGTGTGCAGAGCAGAGGAAGGAACGTTTGAGTTGCTGGACGCACAGCTAGGCAAACAAGGCGATACTCTGCCTTCTTGTCTTAGCTCTTGTGCTGTAAGCCGGTGTCCTTCTTGGGATTCGTTTAGTGTCATGTATTTTGCATTTTCGTGCTTTTTGTTGGTGATTTCACTGTGTGAAATGGCCCCCCGAGCATCGTGCTGACGTGCTGTTCAGTGTTGCTAAGTACAAGAAGGCATTATGTGCCTTATGGAGGAAGTACATACGTTAGGTAAGCTTCATTCGGGCAGGAGTTCTAGCGCTCTTGGCCGTGAGTTCAGTGTTAATGAGTCAACAACGTTGGTTAAATCAGTGTCTTCAAACAGAAACATGTAAAACAAGGCTTTGTATCGACAGGTTGATAACGATGTCGTGACCAGAGGCTTGCAGGAACGTAATCCTGTGTTTCCCCTAGGAGTCTCAGTATTCACTAAATCAGGGTTCATGGTGACTTTTAAGAGAACACAACTCCCATAAATAATGAGAGTCGGCTGTATTTTGTGTGTTGGAGGTGTCCATCGGGGGCCCGGTAAAGAATTCCTTTCCTACTTGCTTGAATTCCAAGCTATTTGAGATACTTGACAACGGAGATAACAGATAGAGGCCAAACTAGAATCTTCACCGGCAAAGTCACTTTTGGAGAATGTGCTGTGCCTTCCTGGTACCGAACCCATTAACCCCGGGGGGCACTGGACAGCGTGGAAGAGAAAAGAGGGAGTGGATGAGTGTCTCAGAGTCCTGCTTCCAGACTCTCGAAGCACGGAAGTCCCTCTGAGAGGGGTAGGCAAGGGCAGGGGCAGACGGGGCTGTTGGGTTAAACAGCAGGACACGGAAGCCGGCCCTGCCAGCCCCCCCCAAAGAGGCTCATCCGTACCCACACAGATCGGGCGGCTGAGTAGGCAGTTTGCAGTGAAGTGAGAATGGCTTTGGATCTGTCCCCGCAACCCCCTTTGAAACTTCCTCCGTGATGATAATCTTTCCGTGCCTTTGGATGAAAGCCGAGGTGGGTTGCAGTCCTTTTCCCCTCATGCCGAGATGACAGCCCCGTGACCGTTTTAAATCACGGAAAGCGTCTCGTTGAAGACACTCAGCAGTCCTTCTCGCTGCGTACTCACAGGAAGGACGTCTCTCTTTGCGATGCCCTCAGCAGGTACAGGCCCACAGTCCCTCCTCTTCCTGGCTCTGTTTCCCTGAGCTTACCTGCCGTTGCCTCAGTCTTCCTGAGGCCGGTGAGCGGAGAAGGTGGAGGCGACGGGGAGGAGCAGGGGTTTTCTTGCTTGCTGTTACTGACGGCTGCTTTATGTTCTCGCCCCTGCTGGGTGTCTGAAGCTGGTAATTTCTCTTGGGAGCACTTTTTTGGGTTCGTTGGAGGCCCCTTTTCTGGGCCACCCACCGCAGCCCCTGTGGTTGGGCCGAGCCGCCGTGAGCCTCCTCCGGCTCGTGGTGCCACTCAAACTTCTTGACACCCCAGGCTCTGGGAACGTCGGCCGAGCCTGACACAGCCCCCTCTTCCTTGCTGCTGTGGGTTACTGTGACCTCTCGGGCTCATGCCGCTGTCAGGCACCAGGCCGCTGTCCTCCCTGCCTCTGTGTGTGGTTTGCTTGGCGTGGGGTTGGAAGCCGTCAGCACCTTTTTCTCTTCTGCAGGGCAGGGACCTACCTCGGGGCCCGTCACGTTCTACAGAACACTCAGAAATCGTCCTTCCCCTCCTTGGATCCTTTAATGGTGGAAATAGAATTTAATCCCTAAGGGGATTAAAAATCACTAGAGTTCTTTATAAATTCTGTATGTGACGTTCTCTCACGGTTTCCCCTTAGTGTCTCATATCTGTGGATTTGGCATCTCAGTAGCTACTGAGGCAGAGGAGCTCATATTATTATTGTCATCTTATACGTGTGTACGTATCAGTTTCAGCAGTTCCAGAAAATTAGCCTGGTTACAAAGATGTCGGGTAAACTGATGCCCGGTTAAGTCATCAGAGTAGGCAGGTCCATATTTTTTTTTTTTTTATTTTTTTTTTCAACGTTTATTTATTTTTGGGACAGAGACAGAGCATGAACGGGGGAGGGGCAGAGAGAGAGGGAGACACAGAATCGGAAGCAGGCTCCGGGCTCTGAGCCATCAGCCATCAGCCCAGAGCCTGACGCGGGGCTCGAACTCCCGGACCGCGAGATCGTGACCTGGCTGAAGTCGGACGCTTAACCGACTGCGCCACCCAGGCGCCCCGGCAGGTCCGTATTTTGCAGCACGGCAGTGGGGGAGTCTCGCGCACATGTGAGAGGAAGGCACGTTGGGCCTTGTGGCTCTCTTCTTCTTCAGTGTTACTCTTGACTTGCGTATTTCTCTTTTAAATCTCCGTTCTCTATGGTTTATCCCGATGGCCAGCCTAGACTACTCACCGCTCTTGGAAGAGTTCATCATGGGAGGTGCAGAGATGACAAGCCGGCAGGCAGTGCGTGCTGTGTAAATGTTTGCTATTACAATTGTTTGGAATTCTAGTAACAGTGTGCTAGAGCAGTTGAGGGAGGGTTATCTTCAGGCACTTTGGCTGCAGTAAAGGCCTCTGTTTTTTGAAGGCTTACCGGTCCTTTAGTGATGTCATTCGGAGAAAAATAAACTGGGTGATAATAGACATTGTTATTAATGTACATATTAATAAAATGTAATAATGTGGTTAATAGATGTTTGACGAGGGCCTTCTGTCTTGAGCCCTTTGGAACAGAGGGTAAGCAAAACCACGCATAGATTTGCCCTTCATGGATCTTCTTGCATAATGAGGGAGACACATGTAATATTTTCATAAGTCATTCAGGTACACAGTTGCAGCTCATGAATACAATGAAAGGAGGATACAAAGTGCCACGAAAAGGGCATATTTGGGGGATTAAAGTGGAGAAAGAGAAGGCTTCTTTGAGGAAGGAAGAGTTGAGGCAAGATCTGAAAGACGAATAGAAGTTATGTGTCATATGAAGTGGGAAAACTTCTGGGAGAGAAAGCAACATGTGCTAAGGCCCTGTGGCTGACGGACCTGAAAGAAGGTCAAGGGAGTCTGTGCAGAGAGCACAGGTAGGCGACCGTGCTCTGTGAGGCACTTGGACAGGAAGTCCAGCCCAGACTGTGAAGAACCCAGTCAGCCATTGTTTTGTTTTTAATCAGGGCAAGTGACAATTCAAATTTTTGGCAAGGTCACTTTGACCACAGTGAGGAGAATAGGTTGAAGGGGAACAGCCCCTGCGTCCTCATCACCCTCACCGTGATCACTGTCATCATCATCATAGCAGCAGACATGGGCTTACTGTATTGCGGGGACCTGGGCTTTACAAAGACCTTTGGGCTTAATACCATACTGTAAAGGAAGTGTCCGGGTTCCCTTCATTTGCCAGGAAGGGATTGACTAGATTAAATGACTCAGCGGAACATATCTGAGAAAGAGCAGAGCTGATGCTGGATAAAGTGAGGTGTTAAAGCAGAGGACCTGACACATGACAGGCGATTAATGTTCGGTTATAATTATGCTATTCTTTCCCCCTCGATGTCAATACATTTTTCAAAAGAGATGTTTTAAAAAGGAAGTATAAAAAGGTATGCAGGTAAAAGCCGCCCTCTCACGCTTGCCCCATCCGCCCATCCTCGGGACCGTCTTCCTCTACCAGAGTTCCTAGTGCCTTATCGCCGACTGTGTGTGGAGGTGCCGCTCTCCACCGACGGTCAGGCTGCGGGCTCCACGTTGCCGTGTGGACGTAGGAGCCCCCACAGCTGTCCCCGCAGCCACACCCCCGCAGCAGCACACAGAACCTCTTTCTGTTCGCGAAGCGAATCGCGTCTTCACTTCATTTTTGCATCTGTGGTGACCGGGGGGTTCATGGTGGTAGGGGACACAGCGACAGAAAGCAGTGTCGGCTGGCAGTCATCTGGGTGCCCTTGACAGTCGGAACTTCCTCCTCCGTTTCACTGGCCAGGACATCACGTGGCATATCGCATCATTGTAAGCGAGGGCGGCTGTCTTAAAGATGAGTCTTTCTCAGGAAATTAACATGGCTTCCACCAGGTGCTTTTTAACCCTGTGTTCCCTGCTGTCTGCATCTGAGCTGTCTCCCCGCACGGCAGCCGGTGGACTTGATATTGACCTGATACGGGTACAGACACTAGATGGTGTTGAGTATACCGGTTTTAAGCAAGCCGCGAATACCGGCAACAAAGAAGTTGTAACACTCGGCAGCTTAGAAAGCGGTGACCGAGAACAGGAGCCAGAAGACTGCAGCGGGCTGTGAGACACCCAGGTAGATGAGAAGTGCCTGGATTAGGAAACGAGACTGATAGCCGGATTCACCAGTGGGGATTCCAGAGAGAATATCTTGGAATACGTTGAATCTGTGATTCAGGGGGAAAAAAAAAAAAAAAAGTTTTAAAGACGCGTGTTGGCTTACTTACATCTTGTAACTTTCCTCTTTAAAGTCCCTTGTCACTTTGCTACACGGGCCTTCCGCTGGCTGACAGCGGGAGCTGGGAAGTAATTGCCGCATCTTCACAAAGTGCCTTCTGTTCCGCAGGGTTATCGAGCAGCTTGGCGGGAAGCAGCTGGTAATGAACCACATGCACCATGAGGACCAGCAGGTTCGCTACAACGCTCTTCTGGCCGTGCAGAAACTCATGGTGCACAACTGGTACGTGCTGGCTTTTTCTTCCCCCTCCCCCACCGAGCCGCAGCATCTCGCTTGCACCTTGCAAAAGTTCTTACGCGAACGCTCTGATGAATGATGGCTTTTTAAATCAGCAGTTTTGATCAAATACCTAGAAATATGTTTCGGCCGTCGAGGGCAACGACGTCATTTTTAAGAGAGGAACTGCGTTGATGTTCTCAAAAAATGAGCATTCAAAGTACTAATATCAAAAACACTTGCAGAAGTAACTGAAAGGACATTCGCGGCTTGAGCGAATCAGTCTTTTTGGAGTTGAGGGGAATCCGGCTGGATTACTGATCAGAGGCTTTACAATTTCACATGGCTTAACTCTTTAGAATATGGTTAACCTGAACAGTTTTACGTTCACGTGAAAACACTAAGATTCAGCTCTCACATTTCATTCATTATAGCCTTTTGCTTTTGAAATAACCACAGTCATGTTTTTCTCTCATTAGTTTTTACTTTTCAAATCAAAATTGTTGACCTTTTTG